AACTTTTTTCGTATATTTGGAAAAATTCCAAATCTCATAAATTCAACTACGTAGCCAAAAACTGATCCGACTGATGCGCCGATAATGATAATATCGAAAGTTGAGAAACTTGAATCTTTTAATAATGAGCTTATTATAAATTTAACAAAACCTAATCTCGCAAAGACTGCTCCGAAACTTCCTCCTACCAAGACATGTCTTACCGCCGCATGATTACAGAAGATAGTATGCTTCCTCGTACTTTGTGCAAGATGTAAACCGACACAGAAACAACTCGTTATCAGAATCGAAATTCCGGATATCATCAATGCCGCGTCAAATTGAGCCCATATTCGTCGACAAATAAGCAGTGTATTCCTTAAAAAGCTCATGTAAAGCACTATTAAATTCTCTAAATTCTCTATTTTTGGTCGATCAGATGAACCTCTTAATAACTTGTATTCTGCTTCGGCTTTATTGAACATATTCCCAACGACATGTAAATTATTTGAAAAATCAGACGGACGTTTTTTCGAATATTCCATGGTATACCGATAAACCTGCATTGCATTAAGCCGTATAACATCCAATAATCCTATCAATTGCTTCTCTATGCTATTATCTTTGTTATTTTCAGGATCAGAAAGAAACATCTCAGGTACTAAGGAACCCAAATTATTAAAGGGAATAGGAACTCCCAATAAAAGAGATAAAGTTGGCACAAAATCAATCTGAGGAATACTTCTCCACTTGCCATACTTTGAGGTAAAAGATTTTATCCCGTGTACGTCAAATTCGTCCATCTTCTCGTAGATCCGTGAAAGAATATTTGTTGTACTTGAGTCATATGTCAATTGCCTTTTGCTGTAGACGAAAAGAGCTGATTCTACTTCATTATCACTATCACCACCGTGATCTCCCTTTGAGTCCATTCCATGATCACCCATTATTAGTACTACCGTATCCTCATCAATATCTTTAACAACATCATCTATCATCTTATTCATTTGTCCTAATTTTTTTGCCATGGCTGGATGATCTGGCCCATATCGATGTCCACAATGATCCACTCCTAAGAAGTGAGCGATGAGTACATCCCACTGTGATTCTGGATCCGAGTTTTCCAA